CCGTCTGCATTTCGTTGCATCAGCCCCGCCTAGTCAGATTGAATACTACTCACTGGAGATTCTACCTTCCTCCAGGCCCTCTGGGTCTAGATCATCAGTAAGTATTTTAAGTCCCCTTCACTTTGAGCAAGCAAGGCTACATCATCTGCATATCACAGGCTGTTAATGAGTCTTCCTCTAATTCTGATGCCATATTTTTCTTCATATAACCTGGCTTCTCAGATTATTTGCTCAGCATACAGATTGAATATGGTGAAAGACTACAGCTTTGGCACATGCCTTGCCTGATTTTAGCCCATTCAGTATTCCTTTGTTCAGTTCGAACAACTACCTCTTCTTAGTCTTCATGAGCACAATCAAGTGTTCTGGAATTTCCATTCTCTGCAATGTTATCCATAGTTTGTTGTGTCCACACAGTCAAAAGCCTTTGCTTAGTCAATAAAGCACAAGTAAACATCTTTCTTACATTCTCTGCTTTTGTCAAGATCTGACCACACCATACTGTTCCCTCTACCTTAGTGATCATTGAAAATCCTCTGGTCCAAAGAAAGGAAATGGAAAGAGAAGAAAAATTCTGCCCCGCAACTCCTAGGTGAGTGTCTGTCCAGCTCATAGACCAGCTGTGATTGTGTTGATGTGATAGATTTTGTGTGTCAGCTCAGCATAGAATTTCCAATTGAATTCCTCACAATATTTATCTGTGCTTATGACATGTCTGTGCTTACATACTTTAGTAAAGGGGCACATGAAAACATGGCTCATTTTCAGTGCTTTGAGTCTCATTTTTAGATTTGATAAAATTTGACTCTAGTCACATTAAAACCAGTAAGAAGTAAAGACAAACCTTGGAAGTTAGCTGTTTTCATATCAAGGGTTAATTCTACTCTGATGCCATGCTGTTTTAGGTATGATGTCACAGTGTTTCTTAGAATGATATACCTTTCTTAAGATAGTCTAAATTACAACCAAAACAAAAGAAAAACTTGAAAGTGTTTTTATGTCCAAGAATCATTGAGTATTAACTTTGTGTGTGTGTGTGTTTACAATTTAGCAACTGTAAACTCTTGCTCAGTGAGAATCATTCCATAGTGAAAGTCTGTTCCTGTTATGAAGTGGATGCCAAGTTACTGTCTTTGATACACTTACCAGTGAAAGAGTCTCACGATTATTATTCGTTGGGTGACATTGTTGCAAATGGACAAAATCTGAACGGGAAGATCATTAATGTGCTTGCAGCAGTGAGATCCGTAAGTTAAAATCTCAAGGAACTAAGTACATTTGGGGGGTGGGTGATGGTGCATGGAGGCTCTTTCATTCAATCCCTTCATGACCAAAGTCTTTTCTGCTTTGGATTGTTTGTTGATACCTTGTGTTTTCAATAATGGCAGGCCTGCTGAAATCAAGGGGAAAATCTTTTTAGGTCACAATAGATTTTTTTAAAACCTTTTATTGTGAATTGAGTGAAGGTTCACAGACAAGATTATGTTTTATATTGTGTCATCTCAGTGATTGTAATCTCATCCATGTAACAACAGTTGTCCGTCTCCCACCCTCTGTGTTGTTGTTGTTGTTGTTAAGTGCTCTCGAGTCGATTCCAATCCATAGCAACCCTGTGTAGGGTTTCCAAGCAGCAGCTGGTGAGTTTGAACCACCACCTTGCAATTCAAACAGCTTTGCAGTCTGGCGCATTAACCTACAGCACCATACCAGGACACCTGTGGTTACCCAGGTACAAATATCCCCATATATATTTATTACATGGTGGTGGTTATGTGCTGTGGAGTCGGTTCCGACTCATAGTGACCCTGTACAGGGTTTCCGAGGCTGTAAATCTTTATGGAAGCAGAAAGCCTCATCTTTCTCCTGCGGAACAGCTGATAGTTTTGAACTGCTGACCTTGCGGTTCACAACATGATTTATAACCATTATGCTACCAGAGCTCCTTATATATTATATACACATATATAATATGTTGGCACATTATACATAATATCCCACTCTTCCTCTCATACCCATTCAGAACACTTGTTCCAAGGGTGTGTATATATTACTACTTACTTCTATCCCTTTAGCCCTTGCCTACTTTCATGTCTCTTCACTTATCTTCATCTTCTGCCAACCTCCCTCTTCTTATGTATTGCCCTCCCCTTCACCTGAGCTAACATGTGTCTACCCTCTAGCCAGTGAATTATTCTCCCTTCCCTTCCACTCCTGGAAATCATCAAAGAATGTTTCTTTGATTATGAAAACCTTTTCTTGAGTTTTTACAACAGTGGTCTCATAACTTGTATTTATTCTTTTGTGATGGACATATTTCACTCAGTATAATGTCTTCTGGATTCATCCATGTTATGAGGTGTTCCACAGATTCATCCTTACTATTCACTGTTGCATGGTTATTGCATTGTGTGTATGTACCAACGTTTGCTTATCCATTCTTCCACTGATGGGCACTTAGCTCTCTCCATCTCCTTGCTATTGTGAATAGTGCTGCTATGAACATTGGTGTGCGTGTATGTCTACTCGTGTTATGGCTCATATTTCTTGTGGATATATATATACCAAGTAGAGGGATTGCTGGTCATAATGGTTTTTCCATTTCTAACTTTCTGAGGATGCTCCATACCATTTTCCACAGTGGTTGAATCATCTTAAGCTCCACCAGCAATGTAGACGGCTTCCATCCTCTCCACACCCTCACCAGCATTTGTTGTTTCTGTTCTTTTAACTTTTCTGTTGATGAGAGTGTGAGGTGATATTTCATTTTTGTTTTGATTTGCATCTTTCTAATGACTAATGATTGTGAATATTTCTTCATATATTTGTTGGCTGCCTTAAGGTCTTCTTTGGTGAAGTATCTGATCCTATCCTATGCCCATTTTTAAATTGGGTTGTTTGTCTTTTTCTTGTAGAGGTGTTACAGTATTCTATATATTTTAGAGATTGGTCCCTTGTCTGGTATGTCATTGAAAAAGGTAAGAATAGATTTTTATACTATACGTGGGACACATTTGTCCCAAGAAGACTCTGGTGGTAGGATTCCTCAGCACACAGTTATAGTCATAGCAGCACATAGTACAACTGGGATAGCAGTTTCCCAAGAAACCTAAGAAGCTGGAATTATGGGTAGGTGATAGATTTCCTATGGGTCTCAGAAGGTTTAAGTTGTAAGAGGTCATTTCTAGCTGGAGTTTTGGCCCCTCTATGTTTGGTCTGTAGTCAGCTGGATTGATTTAAGGAAAGCATAACTCTTCTCACTAAGGGAATGTAACATTTTATTTGTAAATGAGTAGCAAAATAAAATTGTACTGAAATTCTAAATGAGTAATCGTTCAACCTGGAATGACCTGCTAACTCTCAGAGGGCCTTCCATCCCCCCGAGGCAAGTGGACAAACCCGTTGGTTTGATGTTTGTCTCTGTGACCTTCCTTGAAGGAGTGTGTGTGAATAAACCAGTAAATCAGTTCTCTGCACGGGCTCTGGGAGTCCTCCGGGATGGGGTCATGGAGGCCCCTGCACTGAGCAGGGTCCAGTTGTCCAACCCCCAACATGAGGGACAAGTCCACAGTGCAAGGACTGACTTTCCACCAGCTGCGTCAGCGTCATTTCCCTCCACCGTGGTTACTCTAGCTGGTCCTGATCTCCACAGCACATAGGCTTGAGTTGCTTGGCAAAGATTTAGAGCTGGGTCTTAAAGATGTAAAGTCTTGCCAAATACAGTACAAGAAGGAAATTAAAAGGGCAAGAATGTACATAATTTCTCAACAAAGAGGTTAATGGTCCAAACACAAAAAGAAATCAAGAGGACAGCTTGCAGTTTTCATGTCATTAACATGTCTCGAGCTTAATTTTTTTAGCTATTAAATGCTGACAGGGCACTGTCTGACTCTTCCTAGATGGCAGGCCACCCTTGTCCTAGCCACGTGTTTGAAATAGAGGATTTAATGCCTTATAGGACAATCTGAGGGTTCGTGGTGTGGCGCTGTAGAATCAGCACTGGACTGTGAACTACAAGATAAGGCAGTTCAAACCCACCAGCTGCTCCTCGGAAACCCTATAGAGGGTCGATATGAGTCAGAACTGACATGATGTCATTTCATAACAATAAAAACATGATAGCCTGAAGAAATAGAACTTATTCTCTGGGTACTTGAGGCTCAGTCTTTCGTGAAGGCAGGAAAGATCATTTCTCAATTTCCCTGCAGTTCTAGATGTCATAACAGTTAAATTTAGTGAGAAGTTACATTATAGTTACAATGCAGTGAGAAGTGTTCCACTAGGAGGTATAGTGAGAGAAATGTGGTTATGGTATAGGTACATACACAGGATACCATGTAGTTAGGTTACAGTGCAGTAGGAATTTGCCGAAAAACACACACACACTCAAGAGTTTGGGACCCGCTTTCCTAGGAGTTACGTGTCTTCTGTCTCCCATTTTGTTCCGTGCATTTCCTTTTCTCCAAATTTGTATTTAACTTGCCTTCTTTTCCTTCATTGTCTTTTCAAGACTTTGAAAGTTTCAAGCCTTGTTTTTTGTTTTTAACTTTTTGTTGTGATTTACATGAAAGTTTACAAAGAATATTGGTTTTCCATTCAACGATTCATACACATTTTGATTGGTGACATTGATTGCGATCCCTACAAGGTAACAGCATTCTTCCCACTTCCTCCCTGGGTTTGCAGTTTCCATTCTTCCTTTCCTATCACTTCCTGCCTTCTGAGCTTTATCTCTGGGCACATGCTGCCCTTTTAAATCTCATATGGTTGATTGTTCTAAGGAGTTTGTAGGCCCCTGGTGGCTTTGTTCACCTAGGGTTTTCTATCATTTGACTGAAAATTGAGACACGGTGGTAAGTTCTACTCCAGGCTTGAAGAGTGACTAAAGGTGGTAGTTTCCAGATGTTTCTCGTCTTTACAATTCTTCAGTGCATTGTCTCTCGCCACCCTGAAGAGAGAGCCAGCCATCCTCACACTCTGGCTGTGAGTTCTCCTGGCTTCCTTTTCCCGATCCTGTTCTTCTTGAGTCTCCATCATCAGTGCAGAGGGGATGGGGATGGCAGAAGAGGTAGCACCTGACTGGTTGTGCTGGGGTCTGTTTCTAGATGAGCTCAGTGATCCTCTTCCCTCAAAACCTGGGCAGAACCAGGCAGCACCAAGCACCTTCGCAGCACCTGTTCCTTGGATCCATGTCTCCTCCTGGGAAGAGGGTCAAAGCACTCTTAGCACAGACAGCTCAGGTCGCCCCCTGAGCCAGGAAGCTGAGTTCAGTCAGTCATAGGAGCCAGACACCCTTTCTACCTCAGGAACTCCAGAGACGCCCCTGGACTGGTAGTAAAGCATTTGCCTCACCTATGGTTTTGACCTAAGGCTGTGTCCAGGTCTTTCCTCACCAGAAGCCTGTGTAATTTACATGCTACTGAGAGGCCAGATGCATGTGTAATTTACAAGACACACTGAGCGGCACCTTCAACTCCTCAGTGTGGTTCTTGATGCTCTAAAATTTCTAACTTGGTATTGAAAAGGGAAACATTTAAATATTTCCACCAAATAAAGTGCCTCTACAACCACAGCAAAAATAACCACTTCCTCCATTTTTCAGGTTGGAGAGCCAAAGTACTTTACAACTTCAGATGGAAGAAAAGGCCAGAGGTGTGAAGTGAAGCTCTATGATGAAACGGAGCCTTCATTTGCCATGCTCTGGTAACCCCACTTCCACCCCACCTCCAGCTTCTGTGCCCAGGTCACTGGCTGGACAGTTGTCCTTGATTAAGAGATGATGGATTGAATGTCAGGAGAGAATTAATAGAAAGATAAAACTGGCTCCTTGCCCCCACTATGGTCTGTGGCCCTCTATGCAGTAGTCTGTGCGGTTAGCCGAGATTCATAGTGATCTCATAGGGCAGAATAGAGCTGGCCCATAGGCTTTCACTCTTCAGCTGATGGGTTTGAACTTCTGAACTTTCAGGTAATGCTTAGCCTACTGCACCACAAAGACTCCAGTCATAACTAGATCTCCAGATGGGGAAGCATTACTGGGAAGGCCCCACAGTGACCCTGTTGTCCTGGTCTGGTTTCTCACCTGTGGAGGCCAGTCAGACCCCACTGATGACAGTAAGACCAACTTCACACACTGAACCACAGAAGGTGTGGAGAGGGTGGAGTGTGGCTGGGCCCTGTAGGCGGCTGCCTGCTGAGCACTGCTTAGATGTAGACCCTGAACACTGGCCACATTTGAAAAGTGCCCTCCAGCGGATCTGAGTAATTTCTCGCTCATGGAGACCCTACACTCAGTTCTGACTAACCTGGAATGGCCCAAGGACCGGAGACGGTATTGAAGAGCCACAGTGTGTGTGTGTTTGTGTGGGGAGTGTTAAGGTACTGTGCTGAGTAGAGCCTGTGGCTCTGCAGACGGCAGGAGAAGCCACCAACCTTCACTGGGCCCTCGACGCTGTGGGCACTTTTCAGCCATTGAGGCGTTCTTTCCTGGGAAATATTGTCATTACCAGTTTTCTTCTAACACAGTCTGCATTTCTCTTCTCGTTACAAAACTCAGCTGGGATAACGAATCTGTTCTACTTGCACAGAGCTGGATGCCTCGAGAAACAGGTGATAATAACCTGTCAGTGATTATGCTCCAGGGCTCTTGTGCGGTTATCTCCCCCCACCCCACACCGAAGTAATTCTTAAATGGCTTCCCCTCCCAAACAGTGATATTTGCCTCCGATGTAAGAATAAGTTTTGACAAATTTCGGAACTGCATGACGGCAACTGTCATATCAAAATCCATCATCACAGCTAACCCAGGTAAGAAGCCTCACCATGTTCCCCACCCCTGCAGAAGTGGTTGTGTCAGGTGCTCCAACCCATCTGCAGCGTATTTAATGGTGAAATTCAGTTGGGCTTTGATATTAACTGAAAGTGAAAAGCTGCCATATTAGGACATTTTCTAACTTATGGTGAGCTCTGCCTTTGGTTATGGTTACTGAAGGAATGTGAAGAACTAGACTCATTTCTAAAGCTCCACTTACTGTAACGAATTTGGAGAGGTCAGTGTTCCTGACTGAGGTCCACTTCCTGCATGCACACAGCTTTACTGCTGCACATTGAGAACATAGGCAGTATGGCTTTCATTAGTTCATCAACCAACACACTACCGTTGAGGCAATTCCAGCTCATAGTGATCCTGCAGGACAGAGTTGGAACTGATTTGACAGCACTTAAAATCCACTGGTCACTAACAGTGTCAGCATAGAGCTCTGGTAGCATAGTGTTTACAAGTTGGGCTACTAACCTCATGGTCTCGAGTTCTAAACTGTCAGCCATTCTGTCTGGGAAAGATGAGGCTTTCTACCCCAGTAAGGATTTACAGCCTCAGAAACCCTGAGGGTCACTGTGAGTTGGAACCGACTCCACGGCACACAACCAATCAGTGGTGTCAACAGTGGCCGAGATCCGCCAAACTGTTAATGGGAGTTTCTGTGAAAGCCAATGTAAGCTGGTGAAGCTGTTTTCTAGACCGCGGGACATGGCTCCATCAGAGGCAGCAGATCCTTTTGTGTGTGTGACTAACTGGCTGCTCACAGAACCCGAGCCCCAGCTAGTGGGTGCTGGATAAAGCAGGCACCACCACCACCCTCAAGGAGCGCCCATCCTAGCAGGAAAGAGGTAGATACAAGACAGTAAAGAGGCCACACCTGTGGTCATGGAACATTTGAGGAGGAAAAACTGAAGCAGGGTCAGGAGGCTCTCCCCCGGAAGGTGGCATTGAAGCAGCATCAGTGAGAAAGTGAGGAGTGAGCCAGGACAGTTCTGCTTTAAAGACCAGAGGGCACCTCCAAGTAGGAGGAAGGAGCAGGAGCTGTGCACAGGAGGTGACAGAGCCTGGGGGAGAGAAGCAGGAGTCCAG